CCCCCCCCCCAAAACCACTCTATTCAGCAGTTGGGAGTGCACTACAACCCTTCACTGACCTTGGTACACTTTTTCTGGCTGTGTTCGCCCCTGCACAGCAAAAACCCAGACCTGAAGCTGAAATCTTCCAGTACCTGCCTCTGTATGGCTATTTGCAGGGAGCGCAGCAAACTTGGGTCACACAGAACTCATTATTTAATCTCTTCCTCAATTTTTAGGTCACACTGATTTCAATTTCAGCCTTATAAGAAGTCTTGTTTTCCTCCTTCCATGTTGCTAGAATTTTATTTTCTTTGTGTAGTCCTTTCTACCTGGAATCCTACTTCCAGCATACAAAAAAGGTATGTAAGTTTGCTACCTAACTTCAAACCACACGAGGTAAACAACACTAATAGGATAACATGCACTGACTTCAAAAAACTAACAAAGAAGTATTTATGCCAAGGACCTTGAATGCATTAAAAGTATTCTGAGTTCTAGTCTCTGTGATATTCTTTCACTAGAAATTCAAAAACAAACTAAATGCTAAACATCTTTCTAATACAGGAAGCTTAAACTTCCTGTTTGCAGTGGATGCAAACCACTACGTATTATTAAATTATCTTCTAGCTTTTTTTTTAAATAAAGAAAACGTGGAAACTTTTTTTTGCTTAAGCATATCACAAATAGAAGCACGTGTGGACTACAATAGAGGCATTATTATTAATTTAGCAAAATCCTAACTTTCATGAGTTAGTGTGTATGTATACCTATACTGATCACAAGTCAAATACTGTTTTATGATCTTTGGACAGATTAAACAAAAAACTTACAATTCTAGTATTAACTGCATTAGGACTCCAGAAGCTACAACAACAAAACAGTCAAAAGCTTTCAAAGGTTTCTTAAACTTTTTTCTTTTCCAAAAATGTTAAGTCTACAGTCTGCTCCTAATTATGCTTACCCAGGACTACAAAGCCTGGGACAGAAGAAACCATTGTGATAAAAATGATCCCAACCAACCGTTTACCTGAAAGGGTCAAGCAAATCTTCC